GGGGGGGGGGGGGGGGGATTGCCTTCACTGGCTGCTCTCAAGCTCGGGGGCCTCTTGGCTTGTCATCTCCAGGTGAGCTGCAGGGACCTTGAAGGGATTGCTGTCAAGCCCACAGAAGGTTTGCTGCTGTGGCTGCAGCTGCTTCTTCAAGGAGGAAATGTCCATCCATGCAGCCCTGAGCCAGCCTGCTGGGGTCCTCTGCTCCCTGCCCCGTTCCTCTCCCAGCTGGAAGGAGCCGGCTCTGGCACCCAGGCATTATGGGTCTCTCCTGCTGGGCACCCTGAGCATTTGGACTAGGTTGGCAGAGGAGGTAGGATGGAGGTCAGAGGTCAAGTCATTTGGGCCTGGCATCACCCCCTCCCCACATAATCTAAGGCCGAGCAACTCTTTTTGATTTAATAGGTTTGTTACGACTGGGATCTTCCCAAGCTGACTTGTAAAATAAAGCAGTAAAATCCATTATCATATTGTAAAGGCACTTTAAAAGTTAAACTATCTTATGCAAAAAGCAGGAAGGATAGAGTTTACACAGTTAAGCTGTATGGATTTCACACAGGCCTTTCCTTGTCAGTGAGTCGAACATAAGATGTTTAAATTCTTGGCTTGAGTTTGCATTACTTTTAGTTCTTGCAGGATTCAAGACACGACTTTTTCAGCTATTTATTAGTCCAACAAGATTTTTTAATTATTCTGTTTTGTGTGTTGTCATTTGTATTATGATATATGATTCCAGTTCAGCCTTCAGGTATTTGGCAAATAGAGATACCTGGCTGAAGGTTTCTCTCCAGCCTTTTACTTGTGCTCTTATGTCCGGCTCTTCCCCAGGGTCTTTCTTTTTCCCGGGCCCATCTTGGACTCCTAATATTCTTTTAGGTGGAAACCTAGATTTTCTGTTGAAGTAAGGAGCATTTTACTAGGGTTGAAACAAACTCCTACCTAAACTGAAATTGAATGAATATGAGAAGTTCAGTGCCCAAACTTCAAATCTGAGAACTTGCATGTTTTCAAAGACCTTTTGGTGAAGCTTCGGGCAGCGGTGTTACTCTTAACTTAAAGTGGTGACTCTTCTAAACCACTCTTGATTCAGCTGAATTCAGCTATAGCTGCTTCTTCAGTGGTTTGGCAGAAAGGCGTTCTTGGAGGGGAGCTGAGCCTTGTTTCCCGCCCCTCCCTCTGCGCAAGGGGGGGTGGTTCTGTGCAGTTTGGGGCCTTCCTGCTGTTTCTCACCATTGGCTTTTTTGCAGCAGCAGCAGCTCCAGGCCCAGCACCTCTCCCACGCCCCTCACGGGCCCCAGGTACAGCTGCCGCCTCACCCGTCAGGCCTCCCGCCCCCGGGGATCCCACCCGTCACAGGGAGCAGTTCGGGGCTCTTGGCACTTGGGGCCCTCGGCAGCCAAGCACACTTGGCTGTGAAAGACGAGAAGCATCAGCACGACCTGGACCCTCGAGGTGAGGCAACGCAACGGAACGCAAGCTGGCTTCCTCGCTGACCTCTCGGCCTGCAAGCGCCTTCCTTTTGAGTCTCAGAAGGCTCCTGAGTACTTGGGGAGGGGGCTAAAGATCAGCCTGTTCTCCCCCCCGGGGTCTTCCCAGACTGGTGGAATTCCACCCCACTCGCATAGTGAACGTTGCACCCTCCTTTCCCTGGTGTTGCTTGAGAAGGTGCTCTTGAGGCCTCTGTGGGGGGAAGCTGGCCTCTGCCACTCCTCCCGGGCATGTGCAAAGAGGGTTGCATTGCCGCCTTCCTCCCTCTTGGTGTTCTGTCCATTATTTTTCGTGGCCCGACTTGTTATCCCGTACAGCCCTCTGCTGAATAAAGAGAACTTCTGCCTGGGCTCTGATTCCTTCTTCAGAGCAAAAGCCAAAACGGGCAGCGGGGCTTTTATTGAGCCAACCCGGAAACTCCCTCGTTGCAAGACTGATTCTCTCCTTGTTTCTCCTCCTGGCCCTGCTCCTTCCCTTTCTCGCCTTCCCTTTCCACTGCTGCGACTTGGGCTCCATTCTGGAAAGACCGTGACTCCAGTGCGGTAAGTCTCCCTTTCACTTTGCCACCTACATTTTTTTATCTTTAATTGTTTTACTAGATGTCTGTCTTCCAAAGCTGGTTACCAGTCCCCCCGCCTCCATCTAGCTAAAATCCAAATTTCTGCATATTGATTCCTGTTTTGCTTCTACAGTATTCATCCCTGGGTAGGGCGCATGCCCTTCTCTGCCCCCCTGTTCCATTCGATTACTTTTGAGATTCTTCCTGGGGGCTGAAGTTTTGGGCACAAGTATGGAAGCAGCAGCAGCCCTAATTAAGAATGCTCCCATTTTGTTCCTCTTTTCTTTCGGGTCACCCAGTTTCTTGGGGTGACTTAACCCAAGTCATTTCATTGTGTGAAGCAGGATTTGAGGGCCCGGCCCTGAGCTCACCACCTGATCCTCTCCCCACCGACACCCACAAATCCCGGGCTGCCATTCAGAGTGCTTCTGCTGGCTTGCAAGGGAGGGGAGCAACCGAGGCATTTGTGTCTTCTTGCAGAGGTGGAAAGGGAGCTTGCTTTGCAGGGACTGTCAGAGGAGGTGGTGTTTTAGTAGCATGGCCATCCTTTTTCTTGTGTTTCCTCTCAGTCCCATAATTTTGGCTGGATCAAGGGGAGGCATGTAGACTGGCCATTACGTTGTTTACATGTTAGATTTGTCAACCACCTTTCATTCAAGAGGTGAAGGTGGTGCACAGAGCATTACATCCTATGAGGTAGCTTGGGCTGAGTGTGAGTGGCTGGCCTGCCCAGAGTCCTCCAGCGCTTTCTGGGGCTGAGGGTGGACTTGAACCTGGGTCTTCTCCGTGCCAGTCCAAGACATCCCTACTCTGGTTCTCCTGTCCTCTGACAGGGAATGGAGGTTGAAGTCAACCCTGGTCTTTTCTCTTCTGCTTGGTTCCAGAAAGGATGCTTCATTTGTTTAAAAAAAAAAAAAAAAAGCCTAATTGTTCTTCATGTTGAAGACCACTGCACATAAGGCCATATTCTGATTTGTGCATTTACACACATGCACGCGCGCACGCCCATGTTAGCTCTGTGCTCAGGCAGTTGCCTGTCTTGGCTGCTAGTCTTGGGAGGGTTCCAGTCCCCATTAAGATTATCCCCCAGAAGTTTTAAGGGAGACATCTTTCTGCTCTCTCCAAGCGGAGGGTACAAGAAGAATTGTGGTAAAAAGGGTATCATCTGAATCAAGGAAAGGTGTTGCCTGTTCCAAGCATCAGATAAAATTCAAAGGCATTAGTCCTTCCTTAGGGACTAGGAAGACCCTCCCTTTGCCTCCTTCCCCCCATGTTTGGTCAGCAGAATCTCCTTTCAGGGGGTGTGTTCTCATGATGCTTTGAATTGATTTCTGTCTTGGAGTTTAACACTGGTAGCCACCACTTCCTGCTCCAGAAATAATCGTTTTATCTTGCACTGAAGCTCAGCAGAAGGCCCCCGATTCTGCCATCGTAATGTAAGCGCAGTGCTCTTTCTCCTGTTTGTAGGTCATAGGTAAAAAACGTGTTTTCTTTCCTCCCAGGAGCACAAATATTATGCATCCTTCTTCCCTTAACTCTCTAGAACCACAGTGATATTTTCAAAATTCAATTTTTATAGCTGCTGAATTACTTCTGCTTCTACTTAAAGTGTACACACACACACACGTATTACATGTACAAACATACTTCAGTCCCATCATTTGGCTCAAAGTTTGCTCACAAAGTAAAACCTGGCACTAGCCCTAAGTTCCACAATTCCCCAAGCACTTTACAGAATAGAAATGCTTTTGCAAATTTCTAGAAACTTCCTGTGAGAGAACGTTGCACCAGACAGGCAAGGCAGTACCCCTGTGCCCCCGGAGTGGGGGGATTCTCTTTTTCTTCTGGCACAGATTTAAGTGTTCCTGGTGGGAAAGTATTTTTGGATCTGGGATCTGATTAATCACTGGCATTTTGCAAGAAAAGCGCTCTTCTCCTGCTCACCCAGAACACTTCCATCTCCCCATCCGAGAGCCTGCGAACCAGCGAGAAGCACCGGAGCTCCTCAGACTATGCTGGCATCGAGCCCAAGAAACGGAAGGCGGAGGAGAAGGAGAGCTTGGGCCGCTATGTGAGTCTTCTGCCCCAGGCATCCTGTTTCGGTCACTGACAGCCAGTCGCAATCAGCCGCTCTCCTAAAGGATGGCTCAGAATTCTAGCCAGCGACTAGAGTGGCAGCAATGAGAAGGGAGTCTTCCCAAGTTTCCTATTAGGACTTGGTGAATAGCTGTGGATCGGCTGCAGCCGATGGATCTGAGGAGCGTCTGTGGAAGATGCCCTCGTGGGGTGGTTCTGGGGGCTTGCTTTCTTTTACAGCCCCCAATTGCTTTCTGTTTCAGGATAGCGATGGTGACAAGAGCGACGACCTGGTGGTCGATGTCTCCAATGAGGTAGGCCTGGCTGCGGCCCTCTCCTGTCCCTGCTCGTTGTATCGCATCCCCCAATGCCCAGAAGAGAAGCAGCAGCCTTTGAGGAGGGTGTGCCTTACCAGCGAACCACAGGGCAGGGTATCGGCCACCTTGCCTGTTTTTACCCTGCAGAGACTGCTGCTGGTTTCCTTCCCTTGCGCATCTCTTGAGGATCTCTGCTTTCCTTGGGTTTTTAATGCGGAGCTAGGCAGCTGGCCTGCATTTTGCAGTTCCAGCCTCTCCAGGTCTGCTTGTAGTGAGTGCCTGCTTTTGCTCCAGGATCCAGCAACCCCTCGGGTGAGCCCTGCCCACTCACCTCCGGAAAACGGGCTGGATAAAGCCCGTGGGCTGAAAAAGGATGGCCCAAATAGCCCTGCGTCCATTGCCTCCTCCAGCAGCACTCCCTCTTCCAAGACTAAAGACCTCGGCCATGTAAGTGATGACTGCAAAAATAGCTGCATCCTTTGAGGGGGACTTTATCTTCCAAGTGTGGCAGATGGTCTCCGTCTTCTGGAGCATCAGCAGCCCCTGTGCATATGAAGGTAGTCCCCGAAGCTTGATCTACAAGGGAGGTCCAGTGATGATGATGGGGGGGGCTGCTCTTGCCCAGCAAACCTTGGGCCCTAAAGCTTTCCTGATGCCAAGCCAGCTGCATCCTGGTGCTCCTGGTTTTTCTTCCCCAGCACTTTCTTGCTTCAGAGTGATTGGAGAAAGTGTCAGACACAGAGACCAGCCCCAGAAATTCTAAGGGAAAAGGTTTACTGCTTTGGGTTAACTTTGATGTGTTCACTTTGGTGATTCTTTGGCTTGTAAAAGCTACAATGAATGAAAAGTCAAAACAAAGCTCACCTTTTCTGTATTTTCTATAAATTATGCTCATTAGGCACTAGAATGGGAAACTCCAACTCATTTTGAAATAATTTTGGGGAAATTAATCCCATATTCAATCTCTGCTTAGGGTTTGATCAGAGGATGCAGAGAAATTTCTTTTTTTCATTTGGTGAATCTCAATGACTCATGATGATGTCATTAAAAATCTTTAGCAAAATCTAAGATGTGTTACAATTTTTGTTTCCTGTTAAAGTGAATTTTAGAAGTTGATTCTGAGATTGAAAGGCAACTATTTATTTTGTCTTAGTTAAAACCAAAACCAAAAGTTAAATGCAACAGGAATTGCCAAACTTTCCCCCAAATCTTGTTTTGAACCAGAATGATAAATCCTCTACCCCTGGTTTAAAATCCAACACTCCTACACCAAGGAGCGATGTACCAACACCTGGGACAAGTGCCACTCCGGGCCTCCGACCGGTGCCAGGCAAGCCACCTGGAGTGGATCCCTTGGGTATGTCGTATTTTGCCTTTATCCACTTGGGTGTCTGCTGGCACCAAAAACCTGAGAGGGAATGAGAGAGAGAGATTTGGATTTTGTGTGCAGTTCATGGAATCACAGAACATAAGACGAGAAGGGACCTTGATGGACCTCTAGGCCAGTCCACCGCACAATAGCACAAGAACCTGCTATTACAGCATCCCTGACCGACGGCCATCCAGCCTCTCTTTAAAAGCCTCCAGTGAACCCGAGTCCATCACCTCCCAACTCGTCTGGTCTGGCTGAACAGAAGGCCTTAATGTTAAGGGTTTTTTCTTGCACTCCAGCCAAAATTGGCATCCCTGTAATTTAAACCTACAGTTCCTTGTCCTCTCTTCAGGAACATTCTCTGAGGACTTTGGATAAATCACAATAGCAGCTTGTTTCTTTTGCCCAGTTTTGTTGTGCAATCTTGCATTCTGCTTTTGATGTGTTCGCTTATTTGACGTCTTTCTAGCATCTGCCTTAAGGACCCCCATCTCCCTCGCGGGCTCTTATGCTGCCCCCTTTGCTATGATGGGGCATCACGAGATGAATGGCTCCCTTGCCAGCCCTGGGGCCTATGCAGGACTGCACAACATCCCCCCGCAGATGACGGCAGCTGCTGCCGCCGCCGCCGCCGCTGCCTACGGCCGGTCACCCATGGTGAGCTTTGGAGCTGTACGTGGACCTTTAAGCTCCTTTCTATACGGTGGGTGGGAGGAGGGATGGAGAAGCACACCGTCACCACGGCAGGAAAGGAGGACACTCATTTCGTTTCACGGTGAGTGGCGTAAGAATTTTGCGGTATCTCTGGAGGCAGAGGAGGAAACATGCTTTTGAGAGGTGTGGAAAACTGCCCATGTGAGGGAGTTGGCTTTGCCTCCCAAGGTCCTTTGTGCTGCCTTGTAGCCTCCTTTTAGTCACCCCGGCACTTGGCAGGAACCTCAAGAGCTTCCAGGCACCCTCACCTGCACAGAAATCCCACCCAGCGTTGCAAATGTGAAAGGAGAGTCAGCCCGGGACTTCATCTCCTGGGAAGTGGACTGAGGGCTCCAGAATGGACTGGTGGTGCAGGCACGCTTCCAGAGCCAGAGAAGCTTGAGGAGGGGGTTCTTGCCAGGCCCAAGTCAGGGCGCCTTGGCCCACTGGGTCTGAGCTACTGCCAGCCTTAAGCCTGAGGGGACACTTAGGGCTGAAGGATCCTTTGTGGACGTCCAGATGTTCAGTTGAAACAGCATCAAACAGGCAGCCTGCTTAGGAGCTGGTTTCTTTGCAGTGCATTCTCCGGGTGGCTTTGAGCTGGAAGGCCCCACTCCAGATCTCCTTTAGTGGGGTTGTTCTTGCCTCCGTGGTTTATGATCATTTGGGCTGAAATGCCAAGGGGATTGAGGAGAAGAGCTCTCTTCCCCTGGGGTTGGAAACTGGGACTGTCTCCAAATCCTTTCCCAGAGGTGAGATTAAGATTTCCATCCTTTTATTGGGTGCCTTTTAAAAATTCATTTCTAGGTTGGATTTGACCCCCATCCACCAATGAGGGCTCCTGTCCTGCCCTCCAGCCTGGCATCCATTCCTGGCGGCAAACCGTAAGTTGCTCTGTAGGACGGCAGCTACGTAATAAAGATGGGGGGCTTAGGGGACCTGCTTGGCCTCCAGAATGTGGCAAGTGCCGCAAAGATAGTTTGCAGCTGAGAATTACTTGTAGGTCTTTCCCAGACCAGAATCAGCGGAGTCTGAGGATGGAGCACAAGCACAGTGAGGCAGACCTCTGAGTTGGGAGGGTGAAACGTTCAGGTTAATTCAGCAATTGAAAAGGCTTCGGCTGAGCAAGACGTTTGCCAGGCACCGGGAGGCTCGGCCGTGGGTCGCGAGTGCTGCTTCGGTCCTTGTCCTCTCTCAGCACCCTGCCCTGTCCTCTCCCCAGCGCTTACTCGTTCCACGTGAGTGCGGATGGGCAGATGCAGCCAGTCCCGTTTCCCCATGACGCCCTGGGTGGCCCTGGCATCCCCCGGCATGCCCGTCAGATCAACACCTTGAGCCATGGCGAAGTGGTGTGTGCCGTGACTATCAGCAACCCAACCAGGCATGTGTACACGGGGGGAAAGGGCTGCGTGAAGATTTGGGATATCAGCCAGCCGGGCACCAAGAGCCCCATCTCCCAGCTAGATTGCTTGGTAAGCAGAAGGGCTGGCAGCTGTCTGAACCTTGATGAGAAACGCAGAGGGTGTCTTGCATCAACGTCTGTTGGGTAAAATCAGGGTGCAGATTATCATCTGCTGAGCTGTCATGGGCCCGGGTCAGGTGGTTTGCGGGACCACCCACCTCCAATTGCTTCTGCTTGTCCCATGAGGTCCAGCAGAGTAGGTATGCTCTGGTTCCTTCTTTTAAACTGTGACATTTACCGGAAAAGAAGGATGCCTCTTCTGTCATGGCACCTGCCCTGCGGAACAACATACCTCCCCCCACAAGATTTGGACGCCCTGACTTTGCTGGCCTTCCTGAAGGTGCTAAAGACATGGCTGGTCCTTTGAGCACTGGGCCAGGCTGCTGGTAAGCCCATCCTGGAGTGATGATGCCAAGTGTTTGGGACTACTACGTTTATTGGTTTGTTATCATTTTTACTGTACTGGTTGTTAGCCACCCAGAGATGTGTCTGGCTGGGCAGCCACAAGGAAGAAAACATTTCACTAGCTGTGCCTGTTGTAGCAGGATTGGGCAAGGTGGCCTTTTGGAGGGTGCAGGGGAGAGCATCAGCCTCCGAAGGCCAAAAGATGTAACTGGAGACACAGTGAGAGCACCAAATTGGGTGAGCCAATGTCACTGCCCTTTTTAGGGGGAAGTGAGGGTTGTTTTTTTTAAATCCAAATTTGGCACCCTAAACTTTGCAGATATTGTTGTCCTTTTTTTTCCATCGGGAAGAGTTATCCCAGTATAATTGACAGGTGGATCTTCGGGCCTTTGTAGGGTCATGGCATGGCTCTCATTGTTTGGTGTGGTTCACTCCAGATGTTTCTCCCTCCAGAACAGGGACAACTACATCCGTTCTTGCAAACTCCTTCCAGATGGGCGCACACTTATTGTGGGGGGAGAGGCCAGCACCCTCACCATCTGGGACCTGGCTTCTCCTACCCCCAGAATCAAGGCAGAACTGACCTCCTCTGCCCCTGCCTGCTATGCCTTGGCCATCAGCCCAGATGCCAAAGTGTGCTTCTCCTGCTGCAGCGACGGAAACATTGCCGTCTGGGACCTCCACAACCAAACATTGGTCAGGTGAGCTTCCCCAAACCTGGGTGACTTGTCATGATGGGCTTTGCAGGTTGCTTCCCTGTTCTTTTGTTTAGAAGAAGCTTGTGGGTGGTTTAGAAGGCAGCTTCTCATCACCCGGCAAAGAAAAAAGTATGTCTATCAGAAAACAAGGTGTGAGAAGCCAAATGGGGTCAGACAAGAACAGCCATTTTGACTGTTTATTCAGGTCCTCCCCTGCTTGTTATAATTACATCCTGACTGAGAGCACAAGCTGTCATCCCCAGGACTCAGGAGTACGTCGCTTGGCTCTTTAATCTTCCAGCCAGATACCTGGGAGTTCCTTCAGTGAGTCAGCCAAGTGTTTCTCATCCCCAGTGTTCTTGCAAGGGAAGAAATTTGGGCTCCTGAATCCCCGGCTTCTGCTTGAGGAGCAGGTGGTCAAGAAGACCTTTGCCCAGGTTTACCTGGTGTGCCAATATCTGGACCAGGGTTCCTTTCTCATAGCCATTCATGCCTTAATCTCCTCATGTATGGACTGTTGCACTGTGCTCTTATGGGGCTGCCCTTGAAGATCACTCAGAAGCTGCAACTGGTCCAGAATGCAACCACGTGGGCAGTTAAGATACGTGAGCAGCGCTGGTTACCAGTGAGCTTCTGGGTACAATTCAAGGTGTTGGTCATCACGTATTAAGCCATAGGGTCTGGTTATCTGAGGGACTGCCCTTCTCCCATTGTTTCTGCCCACCTTATAAGATCTGACAGAGTGGGCATGTTCAGGGTCCCATCCTTAAAACAGTGTCATCTAACGGGTCCCAGGAAGCATGCCTTCTCAGTTGTGGTATCCCCTCAGAAGTTTGCGTTGCCTGACCTTGTTGTCCTTTAAGTGAAAGCCTAGCTTTTCCTCCAGGTCCTGGGGTGAAGAACACTTTTCTTTGCTCGTCTAGTATTATCAGGCTTTGTTATTTGGGGGGTTTTATTAGTTTTATCGACTGCCATCTTATTGGGGGGTTATTGGGGTTTTAATTGTAAACTGGTCAGAATGGATTGAATTGGGTGGCTCTGTAAATTTGATAAATAACAATAAATAAGAAAGGATCCAGGTAGGAGATGGTGAAACTCTCTCCTTCTCTGTCTTGGTTTCTTCCTCAGGCAATTCCAAGGTCACACGGACGGTGCTAGCTGCATTGACATCTCCCATGACGGCACCAAACTCTGGACAGGTGGCTTGGACAATACAGTGCGCTCCTGGGACCTTCGGGAAGGCAGGCAGCTACAGCAACATGACTTCACCTCCCAGGTGAGCTTTGGGCTTGGCCTCCCAGGAAGCGCACAGCCTCACTTTCTCTCTGGGCTTGGTTCACTCCAGGGAGGAAGAGGAAAAAGAGCCAACCAAGAAGTAGAAGGTTATGAACAACTGGTGCCCACTATTTCAGAAGGCCCCTCTCTTCCCAGTTCAAATGGGTCCTGAAGCACCAGTGTATGATTCCAGCAGTGGCTTCCCCAAAAGAGGAAAAGAGCTTCCCCAAAAGTGTCCATGTTGGTGGGGGTGGGGACAGGAAGGAACCTTCCTAGGACCTTCTAGGTGGAGGGAGAGGGTTATTTGTCTCCCACCAGGGAACGTTCCAGCTACAAAACTTGCTCCTGGAATCCCAGCCTGACTGGGATTTGCATTCATGAGACCCGACAACGGGCTCTTGTTTTCAAGGCAAAAGTATAAGAAATAACTTGATGAAAAAGGGGAAGCCTTTGTGTCTTGGGACATTTCCTCTTGCAGTATAAGACCCCAGCCAGCAAAAGCAGCCTCCCTGTGCTTGTGGAGGAAAGCACCCCCCCCCCTCCACCTCCACCTCCATCTCCTCCTCGCTTTTGGTGCAGTTAATTTCAACCTCAGGTCATTGGGAGCTCGGATTGAGCAAGGAGCGTCTCCTGGAGAGGCATCCCTGAAGAGCTGCTCCGGTTCTTCTTTGTAGATCTTCTCGCTCGGCTACTGCCCAACAGGCGAGTGGCTTGCGGTGGGGTTGGAGAGCAGCAACGTGGAAGTGCTGCATCACACCAAACCTGACAAATATCAGCTCCACCTCCACGAGAGCTGTGTCCTCTCCCTGAAGTTTGCCTATTGTGGTGAGTGCCTCTTGGGGCAAGGTTGCAATTCAGTGGCAGGAACTGGACCTCGCGGGTTGGAGGTCCCAGGGAGTAGGAAAAGGCTGCCTGAGACCTGTGGGATCCTCTCCTACTCAGAGGAGACTAATGGCGCAGGCTGGAGGAACCAGGCATCTCCTGAAGCTGGGCAAGGTTGGTGCTAGTAGCTAAGCATCTGCGGCAGGTTTTTGCCCCCTGCGGCAATGGGGGGAGGTGGGTGCCTAGTCCGTGTCCTGCCCATTTGAGAAAAGTCCTGGGTGGGAATGGGAGTCGGAGGGCCTCTATCCAGTGCAGGGGCCCAGCATCTGTGGCAAGGAGAAGGCTGGGTCATAGGCGCGACTGGCTTTCTGGCAGGGCGTTAGAAAAGTCCTCTGCATTAATGGTGCTGTCCCAACCCAGGCCTTGTTTTCTGCTCAGGGAAGCTAACATCCTGGTTTGTGTCTGCAGGAAAGTGGTTTGTGAGCACTGGTAAGGACAACCTCCTCAATGCCTGGAGGACTCCATACGGGGCCAGCATCTTCCAGGTGAGAGCCTTCCCCAGGGCCAGGGCGGGCTCGGCTCCTCTGCATCTTGAGCAGTCTGCAGCCTGCCCCAGCTCCTGTGCAGAAGAGAGCCCGCCTGCCTGCTGGTTCTCACTGTTCTTGCTGTCTGCACATCAGTGTGGGAGGATGTGCATGCGGGCACCAGCAAGACACTTGCTGATCCTGTTAGAAATAAAAGGGATTGTTTCTTCTTTTTGTTTTCTCCGTCAAGTCAAAAGAATCTTCCTCCGTTTTAAGCTGCGATATTTCGGCAGATGACAAATACATTGTCACAGGTTCGGGTGACAAAAAGGCCACAGTTTACGAAGTGATCTACTGATCTCCAGCTCCGGTGACTTGGCTAGGAACTCTGGCAGAAGAACGTGAAATGGAGAGCAGCCGAAGGTCCTCTTGTTGCCCTCTGAAAGGTTTCTGTGGCCTGGGTGGATCTTCTGTGGAATAACTCTGGAAGGGACTTGGAAGTTCAGTCCAGTCGATCGATGGCCGTGCGTCGTCCTGGCTGGATTGTGCTTTCCTCTTGGCTCTTGGTTCTCACGCCTGTGATCAGGAGGCAGCTAACATCCTGGATTTGCATTCAGGAGGGGCCCATGGTTCTCACTTCCCCATCAGACTTGTAGGAACTGTAGATAACAGAGGAGCTTCGTGCTGAGGCTTCGTGGGTCTGCTGTGCCAGCAGTGTGTCCTCCTCCTCCTCCTCCTCCTCC